TTGCGAATAACTTAGAGTATTGACAACCCTCTCCATCTAAAATGATGAATGGGACGAAAAAGGCAAGAGACCGCTCAGATTTAAGAGTGAAGTACAACCTTTTGGGATTTGTCTGTAGAAATCTTTCAGCTTTATTTTATCCGTCTCGGTCCTGTCCAGTGATCGATGGTATCGATCCATTAAAAGCTTCTGCAACTTGACAACATCTGGTAGATGCTTGACGACTCGYAAATCATGTTCCTACAAGAATAATAATATATTGAAAAAAAGTTAAAGGAAAAACGTTTATAAAAACAAAGTACAAACGCTAAAAGTGTACAAAATAAATAAAAAAGATAGTGTTCATTAGAGTGAAGTCAAAAAACAATTGAAAAAGTGAATATACTAATACGCTCTAACTGCATAGTTTTCGTTTGYGTGCATTTGACTAGCACACTTTAGTCATCTTTTGTTTTACACTAATAATCCAATTTCGAGATCTTAAGTGTGTAGTCTTATCCTCGAAAGCATGCAATATATTCTTTTATTCAGCAGAGATCCTATTGTAATGCAAATACTCTGTGTACAAAGAAAACAATAAAAAATTATGCTTGATCGAAGCTAAGCTTGCACAAAAGAGAATTCGAAACTGGAGTATTCCAATTTTTATAAAGAAATTATTTAGCATTTTGTATTAATAGTCTTCGAAATGTTGGTTGATTAACCATACACAAAAAACGAGACGAGACGAGACATGGCTGATTAACAACATATCATTGTTTTTGTTTCCGAGAAACCTCGTCTTCAGTTATTTTGGAAATTATGACCACTCAACGAGGATATCGAGAGTGGRTCGTTTTTCGWCTGTCGTAGTATTATTCACCTGCTTCAGGAATTCGCCAAGGATGACACAATCCGCTGACCGAGCGACTGCAGACTCATTAAACTTCCTTGTCACGTGATTCAATGTGATTGGTGTCCTGTATCTCCACAGAGCTGTGCAATTCGGTGTTATTGACCTTGTGAGGTCTTCTGCACCTGACTCTAATTCATACAACTGACGAAGTAATGGATTGGCTCCTAATCAAAGATAAAACAAGAGGTTAGGATACAGAAATCAATTTTACAATATGCCGTTTCACTATCTGGATCCATCAGATGGCCAGCATTGAGAAGATCAGCCTCCTTTAAATTAGAAAATTTTCCAAGTTTGAGAAAATTTCTTGAAACATTCCGTGAAACCAATAGAATCGGAAATCCATGGCCTTGAATACCAAGGKGCCTTGAAACAATTCTAATCACAATTAATGAGCTATTCATGATATTTTCATACATACAGCAATTCGTTATTTTCTTACCAAAGCGTTTGTCCTTAGCAATCAACTGTAGTGTCTCCTGAAGCCTGTGCCCCAAATTCTACAAAAATATTGTAACCATTTCAAGTAATGTGCATTGGTTTTGAATGGAATAGAGATACATGCATGAAAGCTTTCTTGTTTGCTAGATATCCCACTACTACAAACACTCAGAGCTAGAGCGATTCCTGTCCATGTAATCGCCCGAATAGTCCTTTTAAGTACTAAAAACAGATTTTTCCATTGTTATTAATCGGCCTTAAAGGGCTACTTGGATGAAATTTGCGAAACATTAGAAAGGACTTGGAAATCAAATAGACCTATCCATATGGGTCTAATAATCATAAAGCAACAGATTTCAAGACGATACTGATACAAATCCTTAATAATTTGGGCAAAAAATGTTGGAGTAGATGACGTCATTTACTCCATCCTTTTGTTCTTCCACCTTTTGAATCAAAATTTCTCTGTGGTGGCCCACCACACCGGGGATAATTCCAAAACAAATATTTTCCCGCAATTGTTTTTAATAGATATMAATGAGTCATATATTTGTATTGCTTGACGTTTTGAAATAAGACCATTTTCATGCAAGTAGCACTTTAGGAAACTAACATAACATATGGACTGTTGGCTTTCKTTTAACTAAGAATGGGATGGATGAAATCCTGCTAATCACTATACTTACATTCATGACTGGAACAATAACRACGGTCGAAAAGTGATTCTCCCATCGTCGCCTTTGCGTTTTGTCTTGTAAAACATTCCAGCCTAATAAAACATTACAYTCATTCAAAACATTCATGTTTAAAAAGAGCAATAAATCCAGTCAATACAATGAATAACCTTAAGACTGCTTATGGTGAGACGCTTATTTTGATATTGTAAATTTGTGTTCCG